AACCTGTATGGAAAATTATTTGTGTGTGTGTGTGTGTGTGCGCACACCATGTGAGTGCAGGAGCCTTCAGAGGCCAGAAGAGGGGGACGGATCCTCTGTAGTTTCAGCTGAAGGCAGTTGTGAGCTGCCCATAGTGAGTTCTGGGATTTGAACCCCAGGCCTCCTGAAGGCCAGCAGGTGCTTTTAATCACTGAGCCATCTCTACAGACCCCTAAGCTAACAATTTTTTTGAACCTCAGTTTTTCCTCTATTAAATGGGGATTTCGTAACTGAATCTACTTCATGGGATTATTGGGAGGGGAAAGTCAACATATATATTGTCTCTCTAATCATTCAACACTTTTTAATTCACTGCTCAATTGGTAGATACTAATTTAACAATGTTAATTTCTTCCTGCTGCTGGAAAAAGGTCACATCTCTGACATAAACCTGTAGGTATTTAATTCAGCCTGTAGAGGCACACTGGTCGATTGACCATCTCATAGCTATCTTCTTTAGTTTTCTGCTGTAGGTCCTGATAAGAAGGAGGCTTTATGGGACTGCTGGAGCAACCACCTAAGGCATGGGGCTTTAGACTGCGAGCCAGAGGGGGGAAAGAAGCCACCCATTCAGGCATCCTACTTCACTCAGGAAACATTTAAACCAATCAACTAGGCATTATCCTGGAGCTGACGGTCACGCAACAGCCCAGGATCCCACCCATATTCTGCACACAAAGGGAAGCCGTGTTCCAGGAAGCATTGAAACCTTTCTCGTCCCAGCCACAGGGCTAAGCCAGTTCCAAGCGACTGCGCAGGCGCCAAGTCTCAGCCAGCGGCTCCAATGTGCTCGAGGTGATGAGGTTGCGCACGCAGCGCGTCGCTTCACCCGGAAGTAGATGCCTGACTGCCCTGCGCGAACCCGCGAATATGAAGTAAGGATTCCGTTTCTCTCTGAGGAATGGGCACTGGGCGGCCCGTGGGGCGCGGGAGTGTGGATGGCCGGGCCAGGCTGGGGTGTAGGGCCATTCGGGGCCGAGCGGCGGGAGAAGATCGGTAGCTAGGACGGAGGCTTTAGGAAACTCACCGGCTTTTCCTCCTTCCCTGCAGCCCTTTGACTAAGGTGAAGCTGATCAATGAGCTGAATGAGCGAGAGGTTCAACTTGGCGTTGCAGAGAAGGTGTCTTGGCACTCGGAGTACAAGGACAGCGCCTGGGTGTTTCTTGGTGAGGTTCACATTTGTCTCCAGCAATGCCTTTCAGTGTCTCCAGGCCTGCTTGTGATTACTTAGTACTCCTGCTCATCAATTCAGCCCGCCCCGCCGTCGACACCCACTTTTATATCTTGTCTGCTCATGAAACTATTTCCCAATCTTTTCTCGTCCGTTTTCACTTGCTTTCTCTGATAGCCCGTGTTTCTCAGAGTTATTGTTTGCTATTCACTGTGCTAATGATCTTGTCACCTGGCTTTTCAGAGACGTTTGTCATCTCCACACCCATCCAGTATGAAGCTAAAGAAACTGAGCTGCAGGCACGTCAATAGACTTCCTTAAGGTTACGTACTATACAGAAGCACAACTATGTGATTCTGCAATTCATGATCTTAGCCACTGGCTCTTGTTATTACTAACTGCCCTCCCTGGTTACCCTTCCCTCAAAATTCATTTTCCTTTTATAATTAGCTCCTGCTTTTGTTCTTGGCCATATTATTAGGTACCTGGACAGACAGTAGCAGGCTTGGAGGACACTGAGGGTAGACCCCTCACTTATAATCAACTTTACCCCTATGTAAAATTTAAAATGCTGCCTGGAAAGGTGAGATATCAGGGCTTTGTTGTCCATTAAGGGAATACTACTTCCTCCTGGTAAAAGAATAAAACCTGTATAATACCTCTGACTCTGGATGGATAGAGGATATTCCAAGCTACACAAAATATTACATATTAGTGACCCCTTTCTCAACAGTTAATCCAGCTGGGCCAGTTAATCATCTGGCCAGGAGCCCACCCCTCAGGAGAGCTGATTCATTTGAAGACTTGCTAAATATATGGAAGGAATAGTTATCCCCTAATGAGATAATGTATTTGTACACCCTAGGAGCCCCTCTCTTGTTGAAGTTGTTTGCAGATCTTTGTTACTAAGTCTCCCTGCTTTTCTGAGTTCTAACTTAAAAAGGTTTTGCTTTCCAGGCTGGGGAGATGGTTCAACAGTTGGGACCAGTGGCTGCTTTTGCAGAGGACTCTGGTTTGGTTCCCAGCATCCACATGACAGCTAACAACCAGTTCCAGGGTCTCCAACGGCCTCTTCTGGCTTCTGTGGTTATTGTATGACATGAGTGTACTTACATGCAGGCAAAACACTCATAAAAATAATAAATAGAATATTTTAAAAAAATCAAAAAAACCTTCGCAAGCTGGGCATGGTGGTTCATGCCTTTAATCCCAGCACTTGAGAGGACAGAGGCAGGTGGATCTTGGTGAGATTGTGGTCAGCCTGGTCTACATAGCAAGTTCCAGGCCAGCTGGCACTACAGGGAAACCCTGTCTCAAAATGACCCCCCAAAACAAAACCCAACTTTTGTTTTTGCCCCTTTCTAATCCCTTCTTTGGATATTGGCAGAAATCCTAAGCATGCTTGCCCTAACACCTAGCATTTTGGGGTTTTCTCAGTCTTTCTCTAAAGACTGTCCCCCTTCCCTATGCTTTACAGTGCCCATTGCTGAGCATCACTACTGTCTTGGACCCTAACTCGAAGGTCTGGCTCTATCTGTCTTACCCATCTCCCTCTTCTTAGCAGCTGATGAGCTTAACAGCTTGCCTGCCCTGTTTTCTCTGATAAATAGAATGGACTTCAAGCTTCCTCGGTGGTCTGTTTTTTATCAATGAGACTAAGAACCCACAAAAGAATTCTGAGTGTCTGCTCACGATATCTCTATCCTCTGTATTCACTTTGTTACATCTAGTAATTCTCCGGTTTAACTCTTGAAAGAGGCTTTTCCAGTAGATATTGTGTTAAGTACTTTATATGCATTATTTTATTTCTATAACAGTGTTGTGAGGCAAATATACTAATATTCCCATTTTATATATTGGGAAAGAAACCCAGAGGGGAAATTATTTCCTGTGAAATACTGAACAGTTTTCCTTATAATTCTTAGCTTACATGTTGGTGAGCTTAATAATAGCATATTTAAATGCCTGTGTTTATGGAGGCAGAGACTTGTGATGGAAATGATCTGCTTTGTAGGATTTTAGATGTGAGGACCGAATGGTCAGATTAATTTGGTAAGTGCTAACCCCAACCTTTCCAGTCAGAGTTAATCACACTTTTTTTCTGCACTACTGTTACCTTATATGTTCTAGCTTTATATTGGACAGATTTGTGTGCGATCATAGCTTACCTACTATACACCTCTGGTGTCTGGCCTAGTGCATATTATGTAATAAAACACTTACTAACTTTTGTTAACTGCAGTGTGCTTTGTTATTTTTCTAGGAGGGCTTCCTTATGAGCTGACTGAGGGAGACATCATCTGTGTGTTCTCACAGTACGTTCTCTTTTGTTTCCTACCTCGTGGGTGGACAGAGTGGTTTGCTTCCCTAGTATATTTTTGTAACATCAAAAGATCTTTTTAAGCTGTATATGGGGTGGTATACCTTTAATCTCAGTAGTCAGGAGGCAGGATCACCATGCGTTTGAGGGCAGCCTGTGGTACAGAGTATGTTCAGGTCAACCTGAACTACAGAGTGAGACTCAGTCTCCCTCCCTTCCCCAAAGCCTTTTTAATTCTAGGCTGAATGACATTCCTGCATGGGGAAGGCTAGAGCCTTGATCAATCCCAGGATAGATATAGTTACAGAGCATTACCGCATGGAAGATCCCAGAGGTTGGATAATTTGAGAGGCTGTCTTAGGAGTTCTGATCTATTTCTATGACTTTTTCCCCCTGAACTTTGTGTAGTGTGGGAATGCATTTGATCATACTCTAGAAGTCCCAGGAAGGTGCAATGTTGGCCCATCTCTTTGGAAGAGTCTACATAGTGAATTCCAGACCAGCTGGGCCTATGTGCTGGATAGCTTTAGTTGTCAACGTGACACATCTGGGTTGAGGGAGCCTCAATTGGTGAATTGCCTCTATTGGATTGGCCTGTGGCCATGTCTGTGGGGCATCTTCTTGAGTATTGAGTGATGGGAGAAGGCCCAGCCTACTGTGGTCAGTGCCACCCCTGGGCAGGTGGGCCTATGTTGTATAAGAAAGTAGGCTGAGCATGGGTTAGGGGAGCAAGCCAGTAAGCAGCTTTCCTCCATGGACTGTGCTCCAGCTCCTGCCTCCAGGTTCCTGCCCTGAGTTCCTACCTTGGGCTCCCTGATGAACTGTGACCCGGGAGATGTAAGCCAAATAAACCCTTTCCTCTCCAAGTCGGTATTGGTCAGAGTGTTTTTGTCACAGCAGTTGAAGGCAAACTAGAATAGCCTACATAGTAAGACCACAAAACAACAACAACAACAAAAGAGTTAGAGTTAATTAAGAGTCTTATAGTTTTACGTGAAAACTAAGGGTAGTCCACGATCACAGGGCCCTCTGGGATCTCACTTGTGTCGCATTGCATGATTAAGGTAAACAAGAAAAACTGGGCTAAATGAACAAACACAGAAGGTTTAACCTGGTAATTTTTACTTTTTCTGTTTCCAGATGAGTGTGAGGTTAGTGAGAAGAGCTATTCTCTTTACCCAGAGCTTGTTCCTCCCAGGAGCAAGGATGGATAGGCTTTCTACATTCTATGAGATGACAGCAGCAGCACCTGGTGGGAGAAGTTTTGGCTCCTTATACTGCTAGTAGCACCTGATGGGCGAGGTGACTTTTCTGGTACCTCTTCTAGATTCTAGGTTCCCATTTTGGAAATGCTTTTGTTTTACTTGGGTTGCCTGGTGATTAGCGTGAGTGTGTTCTAAATCAGTATTCTGGCACTACATAATGAAGACCACCTTTGCTACTCATAGCAGTGACTTTTTTCAGAATAAAAGTAATTACTTTTTTTTTTGGTATTTTTGAGACAGGGTCTCCCTGTAGCTGGCACCTGCTATGTAGACCAGGCTTGCCTTGAACTCAGAAATCTGCCTGCCTCTGTCTCCCAAGTGCTGGGATTAAAGATGTGTGCCACCATGCCCAGCTTGTAATGTATTTTTAATTTAAGAAATTTTAGCCAATGTTTAAGAAATCTGGGGCTTGGGTATAGCTTGGTGGTGTCCTCAGCACTGGAATAAAGAAATAAATTTGGCAAAAAATAAGTACAAAGAAGAATTTAGAATGTACTTTTAAGGAAACACTTAAAAGTTGGAATATTCCTTTAGTTTTCATTAAAATTTTAGGCATGATTTTCCATGGTTTGCTGTTATAAATTATTTTGCACATTGTAGTGTATAAGTTCTTGTACACATCCTTAAAAGATTTCTGTAGTGAAGGAGAAGTAGGGATCACCATGTTAGTATTTTAAAGATGTTTTGTATTATTATTACTATTATTATTATTATTATTATTATTATTATTTTTCTTCTCGGCATCAAACCCTGGATGTTGCACATGATAGGCAAGCACTCTGACACTGAATTATACATCCTTGGTTCTTAAAGATGGTTTATTGACATTGCTGAATTGTTCTCTGAAAAGTTTTTACTAATTTCCACTCTCACTGGAATGCCTGTTTTTTCTGAATCCTGATCAGAGTTATCCAACTCTAGCGTAGGGGGGACAAATGTGTTTTTATTAGGATTATGTTAAATTTCTGTATTAACTTGATGGAAGATTTCCATATATTGAGTCATCCTGTCCAAGAACAAAGGATATCTATTTGTTTAAATTCATGCTTCTGTCTTTCAGGAATTTAAGAAAGTTTTCTTAATATAGGCTTTGTACATTGCTTGGTGTTAGGTCTGCTTCTAACTCTTACCTTTTTTTGTTTTTTTTTTTTTTGTGGTCTTACTATGTAGTCCCAGCTGGCCTGGAATTTGCTATGTAGAACATCCTAGGCTCACCTCAGTCTGCTTGCCTCTGGCTCTCAAATGCTGGGATTATATGCCACTATGCTTGGCTTTTTTGTTGTTTTTAGTATTTTTTCTTTTTAAAATATTTTATTTTTATGAGTGTATTGCCTGCATGTATGTAAGTACACCTTGTTGTGCAATGCCAGCAGAGGTCAGAAGAGGGTGTTGGATCCCCCAGAGCTGGAGTTACTTGTTAGCCACCAAGTGAGTGCTGGGAACCGAGCCCAGGTCCTCTGCTAGAGCAGTTTGTGCTCTTAACTACTGAGCATTTCTCCAGCTCCTGTTTTTATAGAGATTTTCATTCCATTATATATTATCTTTGGATTAATGTTTGTATGTAAGGGGGCAACTGATTTTTAACTCTATGCTGTTACTTAACTCAATGCTTACACTGTTTGTTTCTGTCACTGTTTATCATTGATGCTGTTTAGTTTTCTTTATAAACTATTATATGTAATCTTCAAACATAGACTTACTTCTCTGTTTCTTATATTTATCTAATTGCATTGGCCTCTTTTATATTGTTAAATAGTTCCCAACTTTAGTTGAACCAGAGCTACTATTTTGCATTGAATAATAGATTAGAATTTGGATTGGGGTGTATATATAATCATATAACTTATACAGACAGTTCCTGTTTGATTTTATGAGTTCATTTTCTGTTTTTTCTTTTCTTTCTTTTTTTTCCCTCTCTCTTTTTTTTAGTCTTTTTGAGACAGGGTCTCCCTGTAGCCCCAGCTGTCCTGGAACTCACTATGTAGACCAGGCTGGCCTTGAGCTCACAGAGATCATCCTGCCTCTGCCTCCCGAGTGCTGGGATTAAAGGCATGCGCCACCATGCCCGTCTCTTTTCCTTATTTATAAATCTTTATCTGAAATTTATCATTTATAAGAAGTAAAGTAGACTTTTAAATTTTCTATTCAGTTTTTACTTTGATCTCTAATAAAGCCTATCTTCATTATATTTACAGCTAAAAATATTATTTTTATGTGTATGAGTGTATTACCTGCATGTGTGTAAGTGCACCCATGTCATGCAATGCCCTCCAAGGTCAGAATAAGGTGTTGGATCCCCTAGAACTGGAGTTATGGATGATTGTTAGCCACCATGAGGGTGCTGGGAATCAAACCTGGGTCCTCTGTAAGAGCAGCCAGAGCTCTTAACCACTGAGCCATCTCTTCAACCCCTTGATTTACTTTTATAGTTACTCTTTTAAAAAAAATAGAATACAATTCTTTAAGGTTACAGATTTTTCTGAGTATAGCTGACTTAGCCATATATATATATATA